GGGGTGGGTGGGTGTGGGGGGGGGGGGGGGGGGGGGTGGGGGTGGGGGGGGGGGGGGGTGGGGGTGGGGGTGGGTGTGGGTGTGGCTGTGGGTGTGGGTGTGGGTGGTTGTGGAGAGCGCTGTTCAATGGTCCACATCCACACCCACACACACCCACACCCGCTCCGTAATCCATCTTATAATTCCTTCGCGTTCATAGGTACGACCGTCTGTAGCTGTCACTGGATCTTTAACACATTCGACCCGACGTCGCCCACCGGTGGGTCGAATGTGTTAAAGACGCGTCGCGTAATTGGATAGACTAAATCATAGTCCTCAACATGAATTCGTGCAACGTCTTTCATTTTAGACTGAGTTTCAATATTTTGCTGCGTTCTTACCCTTTTGTATTTGCATAAGTCATATGATCGTGCATGATAAAAAAGGAAGAGATAAATTCGAGTGCAAGATAAAACTTGTTTGACTAGGATACGACTCACATACTAAGCGCTTTCGCTTCTGCATTCAATAACACAAAAATGTGGTTGAAAATAAGAGAATAAGACAGAAAAAGGGCAAGAAAAAGAAAATATTTACGATTTAGAATTAAAATATTATTTGAACATGTTTTCATTTTGTATTGTGCCTTGATCACTTTTACCATCAACTATGTCTTTTATCAAAACTAGAATTTCGTAGGGATAGATTTATGATGAATAATTAGTAAAAAACGGACTCTAAAATATAAATAATCATGGGAGCCCGCAGAAATTCAGATTCTAGTTTGGTATAGGTGTGAATGCGAGCGTTGATGCAACCATGACTCACAATCACAGCCATACAAAAAACGCATCCATATATGATGTAAGTTAAAAATTGCTAAAATTGGTCACTAGTTGACCATTTCATGTGAGAAGAACAAAGTCGACAGAAATGTATGATTGCAGAACGTCTATCTCAAAGTATTATGTGACCAAGATGTACTTTATGATACTGAGAAGCTGTTCTGTTCCAAGGCCGTTAATTTTTGTGTACTATACAGGCGTTCGTTAATATAAACTCGAGTATTTTTCCTAGAAAAATTGTTTTAAGAAAGTAAGTATAAATCAATGCTCAATTTGGTTAGAAAATGTTTCAACAATTCTATGTTAATATTTACTGTCACAGGACGGACAATTCATGAATTTATTTAAAATACAACATTATAATTCTGTTATCAAAATGACCAAAGTTTGGTTGGTTCCAGTTTTTTTTCGGGCAAGGTATTATTCTAACTTGTGCCTGTTTTTTAGTCTTTTATCAAGTTTGCTTTGATATCGAATGACTTCGATTAGAGTTAATTTGCTTCTTTCATCAGTAGAAATTCTGTGTCAATTATCTTATAATAAACCAAAAGTACCGGTGTCACCAATAGTTTTTGATGTATTGTGTAGTCGAAAAAGACTGGTTCCATTGTAACGTTCGAACAATTTTATTAATGTCAAAAAATTATGCGTAACACCAACGAATCATATTGCCAGTTGTTCATTGATTGTCATACTGATTTCTGTATATAGCTGATACCTGTTTGTTGAATTCAACTTCTTTTTTTGATACGATCAACAACCATTTGTGCACTTCTGTTATGTGGCATTTGGGATTCAACCTTCTTTTAATTCGAACCAGCAACGGCTCATGTAGTTGTCTGGTCAAATATTCTCCCAGTTATGTTTCGTTTCTAATGCGAGCATATGAAATGATTTATTAAATATATGTTTATTGGAATCAATATATGTGAGCGGCCTAATGATAAATCTGAGCCAGCTTTTGTCCTTATATTTCGATTGAACAACTGAGAGCAGAACATAACGTTCACGAACAAAAGTGTTTTTTGCCTCGTGGTGACAAGCTTTACCTTTCTCATAACTCTCACTTATAATGCTTTTTTGATTGAAAAAATGAAGTCTCTATTAGATGAAGTGTAAAGTTTTACTGAATATGACGAGGATGATGTTGCTACAAGTTTACTTTTCAAACAATGCTTGTGAAACGGTATAGGTTCGACTAAACACTTCAACAGAAATAGTCAGGCAAAAAATTTTCACAAATAAAGCACTTTCTTATAGGCAACATTCAATGTATCCTCTGATTTGCCTGTGACAGATGCAGTACAAAGTTTATGTTGACTTCAATGATGGATGTGAGATGTGAGTGTAGATGGGGGTATTCTTATTCCTCAAATCTACCCACATTCACGCCCCACATCCACATTTACACCCGCACCCGCCCATCAATCAATGAGCTTAGACTTTCAGAAAAATAAGAGTGTGGGTTAAAAATCTATCCACATCCACCCCAGCATCCTGCTATTTATATCCTATATTTCTTTAGCCATTTAATAATGAGATCCTTTTTTGAACGTCTTACACATGGTCTCATGTTTTATCAACCAAGATATACATCATTTTGTGCCTTTGTTTACGATTTCTGTTTCCTTCCATTAGAAAATGCGGTTTAATGTCTGGTTATAGAGCTGCTAGCACGAAAACTCAACGATTGGCTACTGGTAACCCATGGTCTCCTTCCCACCACTGTGAACAGCAGTAAGGCGCTACAAAAGTTAGGAAATTCTTTGAGTAGGTGGCTTGAAAATAAACAATATGTATTATTCTAGATATTGGCTGTTTTCATAAAAGTGCGATGTGAAGCGATAAAATTTCGATGAATAATAATCACCTTAATAGTGCTACTCAGACTGAAGATAACTACGAAGAGGGTCACATAGTCTCATTATTATTTTTGATAAGAGATGATGCACGAATAAAAATTTGCTTCCTTAATCTCCAGAATAGTACCATTATCTGAAAGTCACAATAATATTCAATTCCTTGAACATATCGGTAGAAGGAAACTCAGAAGAAAATATTTGTTATAAAAAATCTAGATATTTATATTTTATTAATTTATTTTAAACATAAATTTATCGTTTGAAAAGTTTCTTTTCAATAATGAAAAAAGGTGTTTCAAAAAAAATCGCAACTAAAGTCGCCGATGCATAACTAAAAAATATATGTGAAACAAAATTATTTACAACAAGATGTCCTTGATAATAGAAAGGCGTGATTTGATTGAATATAATTATAAAAATAGTTGTAGCATGTACGAGATAACATGAATAGTTAAGTTTAGCAAAAGGAGACCAAATAGGCCATGACAGAATTTTATTGACTATTCCACCTTGATTCATACTACATAAAAACAAAATCCATCCAATAACAATTGACCAAAATGTTCGTGATAGTGATTGATATGCAACTAGCACTGGACGACTTAGGCCATTTGTAAGAATAGAATCAGGATATGTCACAAATAGACAAACTAAAGCAATCATACCAACAAACATAGTTCCAAAACCTTTGGCATATCTATTAATTCGATATTGACGACCAGCATTAATGACACAATATCCAGTTAGCATACCAACAGCATATGGAGATATTCGACACCATGGTGTAACATAAATTTTTTTGAAGAAGGTAGGACCATTCTATATAAAATGGAAAACAATTATCTAATTTAATAAACATTACTAACTGTACAAACTTACAGTATTAGTGAATGCAGTTAAACTACCTAATGGCATCTCAGAATAATAAAGTACAGTAATTAAAATTGATCCAATACCAATCAAAATTAAAAGAATAGTAAGAAGAAAAGATAATGATTTTCGTCCCAAGACAAATGGAATTAAAGTTAAAGGTGCAATCCAATGAAATTGCATATCATTAAAAAGATACCATGAAAGACCTAAACACATACTATCTGGATTCACTAAATTACCAATATAAAGAATAGATGTCCACCAATATTTTGTGCGACAATCAGTCGATTCAAATCCTTGTTGTGTTGGATAGACAGGACCATGACCAAAATATGGTGTTAAATTAATACTTACAAGAACTATTAGAAGAAATGCTGGTGTCAATCGAATATATCGATGAATATAGTAAAGAAATATTAGACGAAAAGATAATTTTCCTTCTTTTTCTACTTGTCGAACAAATATCACAGCTGTTAAGAAACCACTAAGTACAAAGAATGTATCAACACTTAGAAATGCATTAATAATCAATTGAAATGCTATATTACGAGTCCAAGCAAGTACGTCTACTATATTGCTTGTATACGTGAAGCCAAAGCCTAATGAATGTCCAATAATAACCCAAAACAAAGCTAAAACTCGAATTCCATTGATAAATAGAAATGCATTATTATCATTCGTCTGTTTCATCGTAAATATTCGGCGAAGACTTTTTAAAACGGAAAATTCAGCTAAGAAAACTATATGAGGTTTAGGAAGAATCAATACTTGAAGTGAATCTTTCGATGAGTTTACCGGTTCATTTTCAGGTGTTTCGGCATTTTCAAAATGAGCATATCCATTCTTATATGTAATCATATTATCAGCTGAATCAACTTTTAACATAAAAATAAGATCGAAGATTGTTCCTATCAAGACCAATAAGCCCAAAAATAAAAGAATAATAATAGTTGCTATTGCTCCATGAGTTAGACCTATTTGTCCATTAGGAGGATCATTTGAACAAGCAAGATTATCTTTTGTTATATTACTATTATTAAATAGTGTATCAATCAAAGAAACAACTTCTTGTCGATCACATGATGATGGAATACAAAGACCAAGAACAAGAGAAAGCATTACGTTTGGACCTATTGGAGATGCTTTCATTGTAAGGGTACCTAAACAAACTTTCTTGTTACGTTTGATAAAGGCACAAATTCACTTACAATATTGTGTATTAAATGGTTGTGATAGAAATGTTTTATTATTTGGCAAATACATTGGTTGTATACATTCATCATAATCACCAACCCAATAAGTATTTCCTTTTAATAAACCAGATGGTAATGGTTTTCCCCAAGCATCTAGCACTTTCAATGCCCACATATCACGATTTAACGCTGCCTGAACAAGAATATTAAAATCTTGTTCACATGCAGTTGTTTTGTTATATGAGACTGAAAATGACTTGTAGTTTAATATTTGCTCAGAGATGAAATTGTATGGTACATCGTTCGTTAGATGGATAGCCGAAAAATTCTTATATTGATATAATCGATGAATAGCTCGATCAAATCGAAGTGGAATATCTTGAGAAATTATATTTGAAAACAAAGAACAAAACAAGAGAAAGATAACAGTTAACATCTCGAACTACTGAGTATTGCATATGTCTTTATGTAGAGTGTGATAAAAGATAATGATATTGATAACAATGAAAACAAAAAAAAACTTGTCGTTGTCTTTGAAAATAATGCGTTGAAATGGTTTAGCGCTAATTGCTCAACATGAAAAAGATCAAAAGGTAGAAAGTCGAAAGAGTAAAATTTCGCAAAAAAATTAAAATCCAAAAATAAAAAAAAATCCGAAAACTTTGAAAGTATAAAAGCCAGTTGAAAAATTGATGGGTACGTAATTTAGTAATCATAAATTTATTGAAAAATCTTAAAAATTTAGCAATTAAGTGTATATCGAGATCCCAATGGAATAGAACGCAAAGTTTTAATGCTCTCGCTTCCGATCACTTATTACATAATGATGATAAATGAATTTATGCAAGTACATATATTTATGTATGGAAGTGTCCAATTAGTTTGGTATTCCATCCCAATTCTTTTTGTTTGTAGATGCAGATTCTACAACACATAAGGGAAAAAATAAAAAATGATCAAGTATCTTTGCAAAAGCTATTTGTGAATATCAAAAGTTTTTTCGGACGTACGAGATTATTTTGGTTTCCAAGAAGAGATAGACTTCTTATATTTGGTAAATTATCAACCTTATACGAACTCTATAGCCAATAGAAAAAAATCAAATTTTTTTGATACATTCTAGCAAATGCATGTATAAAGAAAAACATTGTGATATCAGGCTGACTCGCCACTCGTATATATACGCAGAACAGGATAAAATAAAAAGAATCGATGCAGAAGAATGACTCCTTAGTCAAAAACGCTAGTTTCGATCGTTCCAATCAAAGAATTTGATTTTCAGCGGTAATTCAGTGTTATTGACTATCTTATGAACTTTCGAGATTTTCAATATTTAATATTTTCCTATTCACGGTTTTTGGTCTTCACTCTTATTCCTTTCGAATAAGTAATATTTCCCCATTGGACTTAAATTTTATTTATAATTAAAAATTAATTATGCTTCATCTAGTAATAATGAACAAAAGAATAAAATTCTATATTTGAATGAGTTTCAACGATTATAGAGTGAATCATGGAAAATTTCAAAGATAATGACCATTGAAGTTGCATCTTGGGTCACCAATTATTTGTTTATATTAGACAGAAAAGAAATTCGTTCAATTATTCTAGATATTCCCAATTGCAAAATGATCGACTGGACAAAAAACCTTCCAGTAATTCAACATTGCCTTGATTATCGAACAAAGTTAGATTACAGATTTTTTCGACATTTTGTTGCATTAGAAATGATGATCAACAGTTAAGATACTCCTTAATTAATCGAAATTATTAATGAACTATTTTCTACTAATAGAGACTTTCGTTTATGATATATTGTACAAGAATTGTTTACTTATCAATTTGCCGTTATAACGGTTCTTCGTCAAAATCTTAGCCAAATTACATCAATACATTGATTATTCTTCGCGAATTTTTGTTTCGATTGAACGTAAAGAGACCTTGAGGGTGTGGGTGTGGGTGTGGGTGTGGGTGGGTGCGGGTGTGGATGCGGGTGTGGGTGGGTGTGAGGGCGTGGATGCGGGTATGGGTGGGTGTGAGTGCGTGGATGCGGGTGTGGGTGGGTGTGAGTGCGTGGATGCGGGTGTGGGTGGGTGTGAGTGCGTGGATGTGCGTTAACAGTATAGCTAAACCTACATCCACACCAACACTCACACTCACAATCACATGCATGCCGCACACCCCACACCCATTTACACCCACACCACACCTACACCACATCAACACCCACACCACCCACACCTACACCAAAGCCACAGACACAACCACACCATCCAGACCACCCACACCCGGAAAACCAAAATGCATTTTTTAATGGATACTCCACACTGATAAATGGCAACCCATAACAACTGACAATAAACTGTTTACCATATTTTGCACAGTTTTTGTTGGTATAGATAGCTGAACTTTTTATCACATATATATCTAATCAAGATCTTTTATCTCTGAAGTTTTTAGCTCTCTAGCTAAAACTAATGGTGAAATACATCAAGTTTACTCTCAATTTGTCCAAAAATTTAACGATAAAAATATGCAAAAATCAAGTACAAAACTTCATGTATTTTAGCCTTGCAAATGTATTTCTCCATTAGTTTTAGATAGAGAACTGAAAATTTTAGAACAAAAAAGATCTTGATTAGATATAGATATGATAAACATTTTAGCTCTCTATGCCAACAAAAAGTATGAAAAATAGAATTACCAATTTATTATAAGACACTATATATGTATGGAGTGTTCCAAAAAAGTGATTTCATTCTTCACACTTTGTATGTCCAAAAAAGTTTTTATTGTTGCATCAGACCTTTTTCGATTATGATACATCTAACAAGACTGTTCATGGCGAAAAAAACTTTTTTCACACAAGTGATAGAAACCCAACGGAAACCCCCAATTCAGTTCACTCAGAACCTTCTTGAAAGTTCTCAACAATCCCACGATACCAAACAGGACTTGGTGAAGCTCTACGGAACTTTGAAGCCTAAGTAGTGTACTTTTTTTTTTAGTGTACCTTGATAGAGTTCAACGTACGCCACTTCACTTTTTTTATATTAAAACTATCCGATGGGTGAAACTAAAATCAATGAATACATAAATAGTATATTCGTCTACGTATTAGGAAGTGATATTTAAGTAGTTACTAATAGCTCAGTAACTATAGTAGTTACTTGGGAAAAGTAACTGTAGTAGTTACTGTTTACTAGTAAGTAAATATGTAGTTACTTATTTACTAGTAAAGTAAAGATAAAGTCCCACCCCTAGTGATGATTAATTAATAACTGATGATTTACTTAAACGTATGTTAAATCCGATTGAGGGTGTGGATGTATATGTACTAAGGAACACTCCCATTCACATTCACACCCTCTTCAAAATAAAATCAGTTCAGTTATATTTAAGTCAATTTATGATTATATACATACGTATCTATTTATTTTTCATTGGTGATTGTTCTTTCAATCAAGAGAACATTGAGAAAGGTGTAGGTGTGGTTGTTGATGGCGAGTTAATCCTTATCTACACCCACAGCCACACAGCTACACACCCACACCCCAACCCACACTCCACACTCACACCCATTCCTCTTTGTGGAAATTGTTGAAAATCAACTTAATTCGTCAAGGACTCTCGACGAGAATAATTAAATAATAAAATATTTTTTTTAAATTTCGAATGTTCTTTTGTTAACAGATTTATCTCGTCATAAGAATTCAGAAAGATTAAAAATCTATTGAATCGTAAGAATGCAAAAAATTTTAAAAAAACTCAAAAAAAGATAGAAAATTTTGTAAATATGGTACAAATCTTTAACATAAAATCTTGTAGTTTTTTGACACTTCCAAATTGCTCGAAAAAATAACCAAGAAAAACAGATTTTCAATGGAAAATCTCAAAAGACTGGAAAAAATCAGTCTATGAATAAATCTTTTGTCAAATTCCAAATAAATTAAAGTGTTGCCAACGTTCCAAAAAAAAACAGAGTTTTACTAATTTTT